GCATGGAGGCCCTTTTGGAAGCTCTTCATGCCCGTATGACTTCCAGAAGCTCCTGCCGTAGTCAGGTTTATGAGGGGGTGGCAACGGGACCCCAGGTAGGAGGGAAGGGGTGGGAAAGTGGGAGACAGCGGTTGAGGAGTGGAACCCAGGACAGGAAACGGGAGAGCTGACTAGGCCCCGCCACCTGGGGTGTGAGGGTCCCCTTGCAGGACTTTGGGCACGGTGTCGCCAGGAGAATGACAGAGGGCAGGTTGGCAGGTGGGCAGCAGACGGCGACACTCAGTGATATCATGTTTTCCCAGAATGACTCAGTGGCTTGCCCCTGGGCTCTGAATGGCGAGCTGTGTGCTGTGGCCTCAGGGCCTCCCGTCCCGTGCCCTCCCTCCCCAGGGACTCATGGCCACGGCATCCATGCTCTGCCCCTGGCTGCAGCCCCGGCCTGGGGCGCTTCCCCGTCCTGCTTCTGTCCTGCCCAATCTTCACACTGAGGGAAGACCAAACAGACTTGGTTTCATTGCTGCCTCTGACTTCTCCTGGCTGAGTGGCCTTGGGTGGTTACTCTGCCTCTCTGAGCCTCAGTTTCCTCATCTGTAAAATGGAGACATTACGAACAACTTTGCTAGGTTATGTGGGGCTTAGTGAGAATGTCTATAAAGTACTTGGCACAGAGCAGATGCTTAGCAAATGGAAAGTATGACATTCAAAGGCCTCTACAATCTGACCTCAATTTACTTTTCTAGCTGTGTTTTTAAAAAAAGAAAAAAGAAAAAAAAAAAGGACAGCCCTGGCTGGGTTGCTCAGTTGGTTGGAGCGTCGCCCCTTATACCAAAAGGTTCCAGTTTCAGTTCCTGATTGGGGCGTGTATGGGAGAAGACCAATCAATGTTTCTCCCTCACATCAATGTTTCTTTCTCTGTCTCTCCCCTCTTCTCTCTCTGAAATTAATAAATATATCCTTGGGTGAGGATTTAAACAAAAGGTTCATATCTCTTCCCGACACTCAACCATGTGCCATGCACTGCTCTAAATACTTACAGAGAAACACAGTTTATTTTCCTATCATCCTCATGTAGTGGATACTGTCAGTATTTCCACTTTACAGATGAGAAAACTGAGGCACACAGAGGTTAATAAGCAACTTGGTGATGGTCAGACAGCCAGTAAGCAAGCAGCACTGTTTTCATGCGGGCAGCCTGCCTCTAGGACCTGCATAGATAACCACAACTCCATCCTGCCTTATCGAGCTCTCTCTCTTCTTCATGCATCCTGCAAATTACAGTCCAACTGGATTCCTCGCCACCCCTGAATTCGATATGAACGTTTCCATCCTGTGCTTTTGCCCACGTCTCTTTCTTGCGCTGGAATGCCCAGCTCCCCATGGAGCCTTCTCCAAGTCCTCCTTCATGTCCACCGTTGTGGGCTCACCACAGTTGGACTGCAAAGTGGTTATCTGTGCCTGTCTCCTCTCCTCTTCTAACCTGGAGGTGCCCTCTGCCATCCCCCAGTCCACCTTGCACAGCGTCAGGCATGAGCAGCTACACGGTACCCCGGTAGGCGATGCCCTGGCCAGAGCACCCGCCTGTGTGCTCCCTGGGAGGTGTAGGGGGGAATGTGGAGCTCAAGGCCCTGCTGCTCCAACGAGGACAGCTTGAGGACTGCAACTAGAACCATCCCTGGGGAACGCAGCCGACCAGCTGGACTTCCTCTTCTCTGCTCAGGGGCTAGGACTCAGCCACCCAAGGCCTCCCCTGCCTGGGGGTCAGGGCTGAACCCTGGAGAGGCTGAACAGACATTCATCCGCAAAGGGGAAAAGAGTGAGAAGCGCTTGCTGGTGGGGTTGAATAATGGGGCCCACACATACTGCAACCACCCACCAGTCCACCCAGTTCACAGCGGCCTCTCAGGGGGCTTCAGGTCCACCCTCAGGCTCTCAGCCCAGAGCCCGCAGTGTAATGACTGTAAGAAGCTATTTGCTCTGGGTCCCTCTCTCCCATTCCTTTCCTGTCCCGCTCAGAGCCTCTCGTCCATGTCAGCTGCCCCTTCCTACTCACCATGACTCAGCCACCACCTCTGCCCAGACACAGATCACTCCCAGCAGGAGCATCCTGTCCTGGGAGGGTGGGCACTGCAGCGCCTGAAGGGACAGATTCACGGCTCCTTCATCCCAGGGCCCCATATCACCTCCATCACCGTGGTTCCACAACCGGGTATGTGCGCTCACTACATGCCTGGGGCTGCGCTAGGCACTGGGCCGCAAGGGTGGACAAGGCAGATGCTGTTCGGCCTCACAGAGCTGTACCCAGTGGAGAGCACAGACCATGAAACCGGCCATGGCGCACAGGAGGGAAAAGTGCGCCGAGGGGGACAGGCAGGCAGCCGTGAGGAGGGCTGCTGTCCTGGGTTGGCTTCTAGGAGACATCCAGGCTGAGGCGTCAGGAGGACTGGCAGCTGGCCACGAGAAAAGAAGGAAGGAGAGAGTGTTTTCACCTGCCAATGAAGACAGCTTGAAACTTGGAACACTGAGGGCAAGGCTAACATGCCCCGGGAGATCACAGGGCCCATGGGAGCCATCAGGCGTCCTGAGCGGCCGGGTGCTCACCCCAGGGTGGGGTTTCTGTCTTGTTGGATCTGCTATTCGTCCTTATTAATTTAAATTCTTTCTGCTGCCATCTACGCCGCTTCCTGAGAACATGCCATTGCTAAAGGGGAGCAGTAATCAGCAGACAGCTGGCCTCGCAAAAGAGGCTGTTGTCCCACCAGAAATGCCCTGCCCAGGTCAGCCTGGGGAAGGCGAGGCTCAGACATCCACATGCAGTGCCCACAGGGGCTGCGGCTACCCCAGGAGCCAGCCTCCCCAGAGCCTCCTGGCCTGAACCAGGGCCACGCCCTGGCCACAGTTACAAAATAAAACATAAAAAAGTACCTGTGTGCCATTCGACCTCTTGGGCTGCAGGCACGGCAGGACAGACACACGCAGGTGGCACTGTGGCAGGTTAAGAGCACTGACTGGAGCCGGGCTGCAGAGTTCAGGCCCAGCTTTGCACTCACTAGCTGAGGGGAGCTGGCAACGTACTCCGCCTGTCTGGTTCTGTGTGCCCGTCTGTAAAATGGTGCTAACAGTGGTACCTACTTCAGGAGCTTCCTGGGAGAACTCAATGAACACAAGCCCAAAAGGTGCTAAGTATGGTGCTGCTCCTGCTGGCTGTTATCACCAATATTTCGTGTGTACCCTACCCCTAGGCACCTGCAACAGATGCAAAAGGATGAGGAACAGTGCAAGAAAAACAAAATCTCTCAAAATAAAAATGAGACAGGGTGGCTGACGTTTGGGTTCTTTCCCTTCATGACTTCCCCCTTCATGGCTGACACAGATTTTAGCCTCCAATCTCAGGCCTCTTCAGGCCTGTCTGTCCTTAAAGCTGCAGAGAGAGAGCCTTCTCCAGGACAGCCAGGCTTCTTCCTCTTCTCCCCCCCAAGCCCAACCTGCCCACGTGGTCTGAGTTGTGAAATTCTTTGCTGCAAATCAGGGCAGTCTCAGCCAGGGGTGGCCCAGTTTGTTTTCAAAATATTTCCTCAGGTAGCGCTGCTTTGGCTCAGACACTTTAGCACTTTCCAAATCCTGCAGATGGTGAGGCAGCTGGAAAGGAGGGGAGAAGAGGAGAGCGGGGAAGAGAGCAGGAGAAGCCCAGGGCCAAACCTCAGGTAGCTGTGTGGGCTCGCAGGCACAGGCGTGCGCATGGCGTGTGTGAACAGGCATGCCCACCCGCACAGGGCGATGGAACGCGGCTCATCCTGGAGAGGGGACCTTTCAACCGGCTCAGCTGTGGAGCCTTCTCAGAAAACAACTTTCATGGGAGGCCTTAACTTTCACTACACACAGGCACATTTCTAAACTCTTCGCAGATATTAATTCACTTACAGCCTTGTTACCTGTGACCTATTACCATGCCCCCTCTTGCCAAAAGGAAACTCGGGCCCAGAGAGGTTAAGTCATTTGCCCACAGTCACACAGTACTTCAGGCATTCTGGCTTTAGCATGTGTACTCTTAATCATTGCCTTTGCATTTTGGAATGAATGTGTTCCTGCGTTTATCTCTCTGTGTGTGTATGTGTATGTAATGTGTACATACTTGGTGCCTACAAAAGTTGTTTTGGTGTGTGATGTGCCTGGCCGTTAAGAGAAATATTTGTGCCTGTGGGGTGGGGGTACGTCTGAATGTGTGTATTGTGTGTATTTCAGCCCATAACAATGTATGTGATAGCATGTGAGTATGTGGTGTGCGGCCTCCCTCCCACCAACGCTGCAAGCTATGGGGCTCAGCCCTCTAGTCCCCTCTTAGCAGCCTGGCAGCAGCAGGACAAAGGGCCTCCCCTCTGGAGGCAGCACCCGGAGCCTTCCAGCAGGGCCCGCTCCCCGGATCCCAAGCTTGGCTTAGCCACATGCAATGCAAAGGCCCCTCAGCCACCCCCTGGCTCTGAGGGTGGACCTCAGCTGCCACCCCTGCCACGGAACAGCCCCCACTCCAGATCCCTGGTTCACTGGGTGCTGGGTCCTAGAGCGGGTCAACTGAATTAATCGAAGTTATTAAGTTAGCACAAGTTTGCCTCCTACCCCACAGACATAGCAACTTGCAATAGTGCTCAAGCTCCTTGAAACCATTACCGTGAACTCCCACCACTAGCGCCCTAAACTGATCTGGCCCAAGCTGACAGGACTTGGGTCAACAGCAAAGAACCTTAACATTCGACTTAGTCGGGAAGCCCTACAATGGAAATGTCAGGTTTTTGAGTGTTTCCTCACACGCAAGCCCCACCTTGGAGGGACACAACAAGGAAAATCAGCTTTGGTCCATTTACTCCAAACAGATGCTTAAGTCACACAGCTTCCTAAGATGTCATAAAATGTGAAAAAGCCCCCTCCGTTCTCTGTCACCGAAGTCCAGCTCACCAACCCAGAGACCACCCTCTGCCTCGCTGAGCGGGCGAGGCTGGAAGACTTACTCAGACGGGGCCGGGCTGAGCTGCAAGCCTCGGTGGCCTTTTCTCCCCATGCTCTTCCTGCCCCAGCGGCCAGTGTGCCACTGTGCCCGCGTCCAGCACAAGGACAGGCCAATGGTGGGTGTGTGCCTGACTTTTGAAGCTCCCAAAGTCAAGCAGGAGGGGCTAGAGTAGGAGGGGCAGGGAGCGGGGAGCTGGAGAAGGCAGCCACCGAGCCAGGTGTAACCAGGGAAGGAGGGGCCAAAACCGAGCTTCCAGGCTGGCTTCTGAGGTGGTTGTTTACTTGTGGCATTCAGGAGAGGCTGAGCTGGGAACCGGCTTATTTATTTTCCACACTTTTCCTCCAAATCCTTTTCAGAGAGTTCTCTGGAACCCCAGTGATAAATTTCCCAGGGCCCAGAAGAACCCACAGTCCCTCAGCACATAGCCATCTTTGTGGGGAGAAGGGCGGGGAGGGGGAGGCAAGAGAGGGAGATGGGGGTATGGAGACATGCCGTTGCTGGTGGTCAGGGGCTCTGGTGGCCTGCCTGCCCCCTCCCTCCACGCTGGGGGTGGGGCGCAGTGTGGAGGGGTGTAGGAGCGACCAGTCAGATTGGAGGCAGCGGACAAGAAGGCCGAGAGGGTCCACCTTCAAGCACAAGACTAACGGTCCAGTGGGCCAGGGAGCACCCCCACCCCATTCCCAGCAGTGGAGTCCACATGCTTAGGGCAGCACGAGCAGCCCTTTATCGTTTGTTTAGCATCAGAAATGAAAAAGGCACAAGGATTTCTGTTTAAGGAATGAAAAAGGCTGTTTCCTTTCCTTCTGTGTGATTTCATGAAGGGTAGGATCTCTCTGCACGTTTCCTCGTGACTAAGATTCCCCCGGGTCCTCTGCTTTGTGACTTCTCAGCAGAGGGACTCATAGCCTGTCCCTGGCCTTCACTTATTATCTGTCAGCGTTCCCCAGTCCTTCCATGTGTCAGATTCCAGGACAGAGCCAGCAGCACAAAGACAAACAGTCCTTGTTCCTCGGGTGGGGCCGCCTCTCCCCATACCCAGCCTTCCAACTTTCATCCTAGGTGGCATGTCCACTCCGCAGGAGCAGGGAGAGGGACTTGGGCACTGCGAAGGCTCTCGCAACGCATCCATGTGGGCTTCCTGGGGCCACTGGGCGGGCCCCTTGTTTAAAGTTGCCAGCTCTTCCCATACTATGGAAACCTGTATCAGAGGCTTTGGGGGCAGAGGTGGAGGTGGGCAGAGCAGCGAGGAGCCGGTCCCCATGGGTGATCCCCCTCAGGCCGCCGGGGGCGGGTGGCGGGGGGCGGGTATAGAATACCAACCAGACTAGAAGCACGGCTGCCCCTAAATGCCTGCAGGAGGTCCAAAAGGCAGCGTGACTGCAGCTCCCCAGCATTGGGATTGTGGGCATCTCTGAGCCTCGTTTCCTCTCCTGCTAAGTGGGCACAGTAACCACTGTTCCTCTGTGGGGCTGTGTGAGAAAGCATAAACTGGGGACCAGGCAAGCCGTGTGGTTGTCACCTCCCTGACCCCTACCCCCGCCGAGCTGGCTCTCCTGAGGATCAGACACTGCAGAGGAGTCCAGCTCTCCAGGGCACTTGGTGTCGGGATGAGAAAGACAACCACGACCCATCCCTTTATATTTACCATTTAAGTGACAGCAGAAGGTGGCAGGGGAGGGCTGATTTCCCTGTGTAATAGATTTCTATCCTTAGATTTCCAAGGCCAAAAAGGGAAAGGAATACAGTAATCCATTTGAGCATGTTCATCTGGCAATTTCTCCCAAAACCAAACTTGTGACTTGTGGCAGCTTCGTCCCCATTTCTCAGATAAGCCTTGAATCATCTCTCAGTGGAATTACTGCAACATCTCCCTGAAATCACTCCCAAGCCCCCATTGTTTCCTGACTCCAGATCCACATGGAAAGCTCTAGCAGCCTGTTGCCACCCAGCCTTTGACTCCCATGGCCCATGGTGTAACCCAGGCTGGGCAGAGTGTGTGGAGGGAAGGGGCTGCAGTCAGAGGCCCCAGGACCATGTTAGTAAATGCATCAGTGTTGCATCCTTGTTGCCATGGAGAACCATTAGGGCTTAGAAACAGCCTGGCATGGGGGAAAGAACACGGGTCCAGGGTCAGACTACCTTGGTTCAAGTCCTGGCTTTGTCGCTCACCAGGTGTGTGACCTTGAGAAAGTTACAGTACTTAACTTCTCTGAGCCTCAGCGTCCTAATCTATAATATAATGATAAAATGCTAATCTCATAGTTATGTAAGGGCTTACTCAATGAGAAAATGTATGTAGAGAGCTTGATTCACAGACATAATTAAGGAGGAAAGATGATATTGGGAAGGCACCGGCTGCAGCGTCCTACCTGAAACTGGGGGGTGGCCAAGCCCAGATTACTCCCTCTTTCATCTGGGGCCACAGTCTTGGGTGCTGCCCACATACTCTGCTAATTTCAGCATGAAGACCATTAAGAAGTTTGAACTGCGCCCTGAACCTAGTCACAAAGGGACAGAGGTAGGAAATGACACACTTCTTTGCAATTACATGGCCCCACATCCTTGCACACTCAATCGGGTGCTACAGGGGATTGATTATTCCTAAAACTGCTTACAATCACAGTTTCAGGAACATGAGATGTTGCTGCTGCTCAGGAAGTTCATGCCAGGTGGAGCAGGCGCATGCACTCAATGCTCAGTGCAGGGACAGAGAAGGCCCCTCCACCTGCCACCACCACTGAGCCAAGCCCCTGCTGGAGGACAGGGCTCCGAGGCCCTTCACGAGACCCATCTCCAACCTGGCCGGCAGAGGCCAGGACGAAACACCCACACCAGCCCCAGTGTAGCCAGTTGCAGAAATGAGGACTCTCCTGCTGCCCCTCTAAGGGCAGCGGATGCCAGTGATGAAACTCAAGTCCCCGATGCCAGCCCACAAGACACTATGGAACAAGCTGCTTGGGCCACTTCCCCGAAGAGATCAGGCAGGGCGCCCTGGAACCTCTCAGCACCCACTCCTCTGCAGGAAGACCAATGCCAGCCCGGACGAGGCCACCAGGCTTGGCTCATAGTGAGCCCTTAATCAATCAACAGGTATTGATTACCGATGTCATTATTTGTCAAACAACTATTTACTGAGTACCCACTGGGTGCTAGGCACTGCGCTAGGTCCAGGACAATCCTTGAAACATCCTGGAGCCTCAGAACATCAGGACATCTGGGGGGGGGAAACAACAAACACAAAAAACCCACCACGCACACAACTTCGAATGCAATGAAAATAAATAAGGCTTCAGAAACGTCCTGGGTTCTCTGTGACCTTGGAATCTTAAACACACCCTACCCTGTTTTACACATCTACTCCTGGGCCTGGAATCCCCCTCAGTCGGACCTGGGAAGAAAGTGCCTCTGAGGAAGCACATGTGCCGAGGCAAGAAGGGTCTGTGCTTCCCTCGCAGGCCCTGTCACCGCCACCACCCAGCTGTCCAGCTCAGCACCGGCCTGCCAGCCTTCTCCACCCCGCTCACAGACCCCAGAACGCCAGGTCTGAGTTCATGAATCACTCCCTCCTTTCTCCCGGCCTCGCCGCCGGAAGAGCTGTGCACAGGCAGACACATCACCCAGACACCGTTTCCACACTAAACTCGCTTCTGATAAACCCCAAGAACGGACCGCAACTTCTGCTTTCCCCTCCCTCTCGGCCTCAGGGTCCTGGCCACGACTTTTCAAAGACATCCCCCCCACCATGCCCGTCGCTTTTGGGGGGCCTGGAAGTGGGACGCTGCAGGGACAGCAGACAAAGACCGTGGATTTATCTGAGGGCAGCAGGACACGCTAGGTCTGCAGATTGAAGCCGCCGCGCTCCCGGATTGTAAATTTCGGGCTGCCGCGTGTGCCTGGTCTGGTCGGTGTGGCGCCTGCTCTGAGCGTGTGCGCCGTGTCGGTGGGTTGAGAGACGGTGAGCTGTGTGTACCTGGCAGTTGTGAATCTGAGTGCAGCTGGTCTGGAGACTGTGGATGCCTGCGTGGAGTTTTTCCCGAGCCGGGAGCTCCCTCTCCCCGCCTGCGTGTTGCCCCCTCTTCCTCCGAAGTTTGGCGCGCGCGCGCCCGCACGGGGAAGGGAGGGGGCGCACGGCTGGGCAGCCTCCGAGGGCCCCGTAGGCGGTTCCGGGACTCTAGCTACTTACTTACCCCAGCCTCAGAGCCTCCTCCGGCGGGGGCGGATCCGACTCTCCGCGACTGGGATCCGGCGCCCGCAGCATCCGCTCGCAACTTTGCCCTCGATTCAGCGGAACCAGCTCCCTCGGGGCCCCGGCTCCGCGCCCTCCCTGAGGAAGGCGGCGGGGAAGGCGAGAGGGAGGCGCGGCGCGGCCCGGCCGGTTCGCACTCCCGGCGAGAAGAGGCGCCAGGCGGGCGCCGTCCCGGCCAGCGAGTGAGCGAGCGATCGGTGCTGCCTGACTCCCTCCCCGCTCGGGCCGAGCGGCGAGCGGCCGCGGCGGCGGCGGATTCCTGAACCGCGTCCAAGGCGCCCGGGGAGCCCTCCTCCTCTCCGTCTCACCCCACCCAGCTCCCACCCCTGCGTGCCGACAACTTGGGAACCGTTGGCGAACTTGGCGCAGTTCGGGCTGCGGGCTGCGTGCCGGCCGGGCCTCCGGGTGGAAAAAGGGGAGGAGAGAGAGGAGCTGAGTGGGAAGGGGGCCGCCCCCGCCCCCGGGGGATCGTGCTCGGCGGGACCCCTCTGTGGGCCTTTGTTCCGGGCGCTGCCCCTCAGCCCGCCCCTCCCCGGGGACTCGCTTGGGGCCGCTCGGGTCCCCACCCCTTCCCAGAGAGGCTGGGAGGGGCTCCCGGCCCCTGGGTGGGTAGGTGGGGGAGGTCTTCCTGGCTTGCTTCGGCCGGATACCCCCAGGCCGCTACCAGCCTGCCGTCCTGTCCCTCCCCAGAGAGACCCCTCTGGCTGCACGGGTTCTCCGCCATCTCCACGGCGGGAGGAAGGGAGGGGCCGGAGCAAGAGGGTCAAATGATGGTCCCCCAGGCTTCCGAAGACCATACACCCTCTCTCTGACGCCTGGGAAGTGAGAAGGAAGTAGGGTCCACGCGGGCCGGCTGGAGCGGCTTCGCGATGTCCTCAGACCCTCCTGGGAAGCTGGCGCCTCCGGCTGGGGGCTGCTGGACGAGCGAGGACGGGGTCGCGCAGGCTCGCGGTACAAGGCTGGCTTCACCAG